GAATGTAAAACACAAGAATGCAAGAAAGAAGACAATTAGAGAGAGAGAAGAGAAATGAAATGGCAGAAATGATATCGGAATATTTGACAACTCACTTCGTGGGATATCGTACACCACACGTATTCGTGACCTCAACTTCGAGGTTAAACGCCGCGTTGATGAAGTCAGGCACACATCGTTGTGGTGCTAACGTCTCACGATCATAACAAGGATTACCGTCTGTAAAAACAAAGTCTGTACGGATAAATGACGGCGTTATGTAATAGAAACGCAAGTTTTGAACTTTTTCCAGCTTACCCTACACCAATTTCACTTAGAGGGTCAACTGCTGAATTGTTAGCCTCACTACGTATTAATCATTTAAGAATTTCTGATCGCATCGGAATTTTTCATCATAGCTCCTAACAGAGAATGCAGTTGCTGCTGGGCAAGCTTATTTGGACACTTCACTGGCGGAAGTTCGTTAGAAGCGGTTCTATCACACCCCTCAGCGAACTATTGTTGAACTGTGTCTCAACGCCGTTCTATCTAAACCCTCTTCAGAAGCACTGAACACAGCGGCTGGAGGGCGTTGCAGTTTTGAGGACATCATTGAGCGTTATTTGAATACAAGACCATTCATTGCGCTGGAGGGTGTTTGTGACCGCCCCTAACTCTCTTCTACCAATGAGGTTTGATGACGTCATCAAAACCGCAATTCCCTCCAGCGAATTCCTTTCGTGAACGAAATTGCCTCGAAATAGAGACCTATGGCACACTGCAAGAAATGCCTTCTAAGTACCACCATTTGACACCACCACCAGTTGACACGATTTTCTACCCATGAGTTGGGAGCTGCGAGGGATATTCTGCTCCACCTCATTCGATTCCCTGTGTGCCAAAAGTTCCAATTGGGTGTCTGCTGCAGATTGCTTTATCGTCATTACAAAATAACGGCTCACAGTGTCCAGGGGAAAAGATGAGGTATGAAATCCTATCAGAATACGCCTCGCACTCCACTACTTCTACACTGGAACATGGAGGTAGCCTAGAGTGCATTCAACCCGCACAATGAGGCGGCAAGATCGGAGGCAAGCATAAGCTCAAATCAGTTTCCTATGCACCGCGATAAGCCTGACTCTAATTCAACAACTCTCACGAACATGGAAATAAATATATTGACCGATTTGAGTGGGCTTGGGCTCCGAATTCGAGCATTTGCAATTCAGCGACTTCTGTCGCCGGGCTCAGGCAATCTTCAATGTCCACAACTGCAATTCTCCCCCGTCCCCCCCCCCAAAAAAAAATATTCTTCATCGACAGTGATAACGTGTGGCGTGCTTCCACTCGCGCCTATCGCCCGGTGGTATTAACAGCTGGCTGGCACGCGTAGGATTGTTTCCTCGTTATTTTAAAATGACGATTTTGGCTCACAGTGACGACCGGTATTGACTGACACGTAAAGGACCTGGACGTTTGATGCCAGTGGCTTCCTAACACTTGGCTCCAAGTTACACGCATATCACTAGCGTGGCATCACTGGGATTATTGGGGATGTTGTGGCCTAACAACATGCATTTACATAGTCGTGCGTATTCTTCTTGAATCAAAAGGATGCGATATTCGCTGGTAGTCCATCGTTTCTTTAGAAGCATTTTGTATTTGACTTCCACTACCTCCACCATTTGTGTGCGATTTCTCAAACACAAAAATTTGCGGGCCAGTCGATGTAAAAGCCCGTGTTGTTGTCCTCCAGGCACATGTGGTAACAATCGGTCGAACTCGGAAGGATGTAAGGTTTCCAAAATAATAGTTTAGTACTGAGCTTCCGACCAAGATTGTCAATAGCTTTATTTGGCCGACGTTTCGGTGCTTTCACCTTCTTCAGAGCCTGGAAAAGTCGAAAGCCATTTAGGAAACTACCCGTCCAAACACTATTTCAACCTACAAGAATCATTCAACAGGGTGTAAACTACTAAAACGATGTCATGGAGGGAGATGAGAACGAACCTTTAGAGATGCTGACCAGAGAGGTCCACCTGCCACCCCGAGCTGGTAGTAACGCGGCTTCAATAGGTGAGGTGTAAGATGTAAGGTTTCGATGGCCTGGACGAGATCCGATGCGAAAGCTGACCCTCCTTTATGGATCTCCTGTCTACCCATTAGCCCATCAGCAGTTATCTAGATTGTGTGTAAACAATGTAACAATAAAATCAAAAATGTTATTCCACATCTTTCAATTGGTGATGTGGTATGGCAGGATGGTTGAGCTTGCTTTCCAAGAAGATTTTTGATCAAGTTAAGGCTCTTTGTCCTTTTATATATTCCGCGCTAGTGATCAGCCCATAAGCGACGAATTGATTTGTAGGATTAAGGGGATTGAATATCTTACTCGTTTAACATGATTTCCTTTCTTTCTAGCCGTTCATTTAATGGTATTAAGGCAAAGCTGGATACGAAAGTGTACAATGGCCAGGGCCACTACATGAGATAAATCGTGTATGCTGAAAATGACTGCATAATTTTCACTATAAGGTGTGTGCGTGGCGCATCCTAGTCGGCAAACGAATGACGAGTATGAAATAGCGCTGAACGATGAGACTGTTTTCGGCACGTATAAAGAAAGTGAGATATCTGAGCGATGACCTCGTCGGCACGAGTCATCGCTGGGCCTTTAGACAACAGATGTTGCATTGACAAGGAACCGATGGAAATTTATTAGACGTGCCACTCCGTCTGAATCCATCAACCAGAGAAAAACGCCGAAAATTTATTAGGCACCTGTTTACACACATTAATCAACACGAACTTTTGATCCCTATGACTCACTGAAGGATCATTATTACACAATCGAAAGCAGCTGAGTTTGTTAGCCAGTAGTTCCCTCATCAAAAATCCACATAAACTGGTGAGAATTCAAGAGGAACCTCTTTCATCGGTCCAACTGTAACTGGTGATGGTGATGGTTCAGTGGCTAGAAGCGATGCCAAGTACCTGCGAATCCATGGGTCGAAATTTTTTATCAAACCAGCTTAGGACGCAGGTGGAAAACGAATGCGCGGCGCATCCCAAAGGGTGCGTGAATAATAAGGGCAAATCTGACACGTGTAGAACGAGGAAGCACCAGCTCCTCAATTCGGAGGCTACATACTATCGAAGTGCCCCAATGCTGATGATTTCCTGATTGGGAGCATTTGACACTATGGAGGTTTGTTGAGCTGGAAATAGAGGTGAGGCCAGGGAGTCGTATTGATCTATTTTTTGACACTAACCCACCCTGCTACCTTTGTTCATTTCATTGTATACGAAGTTGAATCCCAAACAAAAATTCGCTAGTCATCCTCGTAACAATTGCGGAGCGTTTTTGAAAAAAAAAGGAAAAGAAAGCGAACAAGAATGCTCGTACTCATGAGGGGCTGTCTGAGATCTGTCAACTGAAGGTGAAGCTTTAGGAAAGCTGCACGTACGCTAGAAGCTGATAGCCACTGCCATTCAGCTGCTGTCAAGTGAGAGGAACAAAAAGATGAGAAGATTGTCGGCGATCACCTTTTTGAGGTGAGCATCTGACGTAAATTTAGAATCGTACGAGTTTGCGCATGCTTAAGCTAACTGATGTTACATCATAAGGCGGGTGCGTGTTATGTTTCAATTGACACATCAATTCAACCAGTCGTTTTGTGCTTTTTTTTGGCGCTTTTGCTTTGGATATTTCGCTGCCGAAATAGAGGGAGGGGCGAGTGTTTACAAAGGAGGGATGCGGGCCAGATAATCATTGGCTGGATTTGAGGAGCGAGCTTGATTTGAGGCGAGCATCTGACGTAAATTTAGAATCGTACGAGTTTGCGCATGTGTGTACCATCGAAGCGGTCGATGTTTCTTGAACACAATCAATTCAACCAGTCGTTTTTTTTTGCTTTTTTTGCTTTTCTTATTGCTTTGCGAATATGTTCGCTGCTAATAGGAGCGGGGCGGCAGTAGTTTACAAGGAGGGATGCGGGGCCAGAATAACTCATGGTGGATTTGATAGCCGAGCTTATTTAAGCGCTGCCTCCAGCCAGTGAGCTAGCTTTCTCATTGCTGGTATACTGTAGGCTAGACTTTCATGTATCATGATACCTTCACAGAGCACCAGTAGTGAATGGGAAGAACTGAACGAAGTGGGGCTTTTCATCGACAAACTATTTCTTATCCCGAATCTCCATATTTTGAGTTCATTAGGATATGGTTGCTACCCATCTAATCGGTATTCAAGTTGAGAAATAGGATGCTCAAGTTTCAGAGTTTCTACCAGCCAGAGAAGCAAAATGGTGCTTTCAAGGGTGCGACTGCCCCGATGGCGTCGGGTTTACCGAAGAAAGCGGAAATCGTTAACGTATCGGGAGCATGGCGTAACGCCCTATTATCAAGCCCAGAAAAGGGCAACATTTAGACATTTTGGAAAGGGCTACACCAGAGCGCTTCCTGAGCCCGTTTTTCAACCAGCTCATTATTTTACAATGGAATGTCACAAGGACCTTTACATAATGCCGAGCAGCGCGAATATGGTGCGATCTGCGTTGAAAGGAATTCATCGGTCTCTTTGTTAAACTCAAAGAGACTGCTGCGGAGACTGTTCCGGAAGATCTTTCCCTTTTTTATTTAATACTGGTAGTGGCGAAGTTCAGTGTTCGCACAACATGAGCGAAAAGGTTAGTCGCATGCGGCCATGGAAAAACACGCTAGGTGTGAAGATGAAGATTCATCGGCACTGGTCTTCGCAAACATCCAGTTGTTCACTCCGTAAACAAATGCCAACGATGAATGCTTCTGCTGACCAGAGTCGAGATTCAACATAGCCTCAAAAAAACTTTCGCCCAAAATTTTAAACTTCAGAAAGTACGCCGAAAATTGCTTTGTAATTCATATTGCAAGGATCTACAGCGCCCGATAACAAAAAAGCGCAGTGAACCATGCACTTCAATGGTGACGCTTGAGAAGGCGGCTGGACCACATCTTGGGCATGGGATCCTGAAACATCTCCTGAGCCACACATAAACTCTACCAAAGGGATTGAATAAAGATCCTGCTCAAGTTGAGCGATCGGTTTTGATTGAAAATCTAATTTTGGTACCACTTCAGTCAGTTGGACTACTCTTCGATTTGTCTATACTTCCTTCCAAAAGATAAGAAGAGCGTCGGTGCAGACCATACACCACAAGTGACGACGGCCTCCACAAAATATGTTT